TAGAGAGGACAGTGCTGTGGGGAGAAGGGTAAGAGAGTCTGTCCCCACATCCCACAGAAGCCTCACAGATCAATCCTCAGGGTTTGGCTGAGATTTCTGGGATATGCTGATCCCACAGATCTGCCAGGACCTTACACGTCATCATAGTGGCTAAGGTGCAGGCTCCTGCTGGGCCATGAGGAGTAATGAAGCATTGATATGCACCTCGACACGTATGATCCTTGAAAGCGTTATGCTATGTAAAAGGAGCTAGATGTAAAAGGCCACATGTTGTATGAATCCATTTGTATAAAATGTCCAGAACAGGGAAATCCACAGGGACAGAAAGCAGATTCCTGGTTGCCTGGGGAAAGGGGGGATGGGAGGATTGGGGGTGTTAGTAAATGACACGGTTTCTTTGGGGAGGATGATGGAGTGTTCTAAAATTATTGTGGTGATGATTGCACGGCTCTAAATATAAAAATCCACTGAATTGTACACTTGAAATGGGTGAGTTGAACACTACGTGAATTATAGCTCAATAATAAAAGCTCAATTACAAAAAAGGGGACGTAGGCTGCAGGGTTAGATAGCTGGGTTCAAATCCTGACCCTATCACTTACTACGTGGACAACCTTGGGTGAATGACAACCTTCTTGAGCATGAATTTGCTCATCTGCAAAATGAAGACCATTACAGCACCTGCTGTGTCAGGCGAGCGTGGGGATTAAATGAGTTAATACTTAACGGGCTCAGAACAGTGCCTGACACACACTAGGCAGCTGCTCTTCCTAGTTCAGTGAAACAAACTTCTGTTGGACAAGGTGGAAAATGAGAGCCCCAAGAGGTTAAGTTACTTGCCCAAGGTCACTGCTGTAGGCCGATGAACGCCCCCACCCCCTAATATGTGTCCAAGTCCTAATCCCTGGACCCTCTGCATATGCGCTTATTTGGAAAGAGGGTCATTGTGGATGCAGTTAAGTTCAGGATCTTAAGATGAAAAGATCATCCTGGATTACCAGACTGGGCCTGAAACCCAATAACAAGTGTCCTTGTAAGAGACGCACAGAGGACAAGACAGACAGGGGAGAAGGCCACGTGAAGACGGAGGCAGAGGTTGGAGGGGTGCAGTCACAAACCAAAGGGAGCCTGGAGCCACTAGAAGCCAGAAAAGGCAAGGAACATTCTCCCTGGAGCCTCAGAGGGAGCATGGCCCCAACGACACCTTGATTTCAGACTCCAGCCTCCAACTGTGAGGGTACATTTCTGGCAGCTTCAGGAAACTTGGGCATCCACTCAGCCCACAGTCCAGAGCCAGGACTCTTGACTCCAATGATCACCTGGGGCCCCTTCATTGCACTTATCTGTGAATAAAGAACAGCTTCAACCCCAGATATCATGAAGGTTCTGGAGGCGGGCTCTCCGATCCCCTTTTACGGACTAGGACACTGAGGCCTTGTTGTCACTTGCTCATGTGACACACCCATCAGTGTGGGGCGGTTTGGAGCAGGAAGTGTGAGCCCGGCTGTCTCCTCTAGCCACGTCAGCTCATTAGATGTACTAGCCCCTGCCTGGAACAGTATTTAATTTTCCTTTTACAACGCATCAATTGCAAGTTCATTAACGGGCAATTGAACGTTATAGGTGACATTAGAATTTATTAATAACATTGGAAATAAATCTCCCTGGAATTCAAGTAATTGAAAATCTTGTGAAATTCTCTTTTTTATAATCCATAAAACAGGTCTGAAAGAGGGGTGTTTCAGAAACCCCGGGGGCGGCTGGAGTTGCAGGTGTGGGAAGCCGGGTGGGGAGGGGCTTCTGTTCTGACCTAGCCCACCCGCCCCTGCCCAGCACCCAGTCTGGGAACAAGCCTCTCCTATTGGGAATGTCCTATGACTCACTGCAGTGACCAGAGCTGGGTGCTGGGGATGCAGATGTGACCCTGTCCACAAGATCACAGCCTAGTGTGGGGGACAAAGCTGTGAAGGTGCCTTTTTGATTCAGGGAGGTGAGGACTGGGATACCCCAGTGGCACCTGGATCCTCTGCCACAGCCAGGCAGTTCCTGCCCATGCGGAAGTCTCTGTGGGTTTTGGGACACGCCAAACTCAGGCTGAGAAGAATGTGTCCCCAAAGTGCCCTTCCTGCTCAGGTGGAGTGGGCCACCCTCTCCCAGGGCATTCTGGGAGGGGAGATGCTTGGGGGTGGCTCCCGAGACCCTGGGGGTTTGAGTGTCTGATTAACTTCCCACCACACCTCGATTCCCTCTCGGTCCCCAGAAACAGGTCACACCATGTTTTCTTGATTTCCAGTCCCAAGGGGGTACACTAGACAATGTGGGGTCCTATTGGAATGCCCAAGAGGAACCATCCTGAGCTGTCCAGATGTTTTAGACCAAGGCCCTTTACTGGGAGGTCCTCTACCCCAAGGCAGCACATTTCTGCCTGAGGCCACAAGGAGCCCCCAGCAGAGACAAAGTGCACCCTCACCCCCGTCCTTCCATCGGTTTCTTGTTGCCGATGCTGGGAAGAACATTACAAATATTTTATGACCAGTATAGCACAGGACCTTGCTCCTGGCACTGGGACAGGGTCCTGGATTGTAGGGGGGTCTACGGGAGAGGCTGGAATGTTGGGGAGCACATAGGGAGCTGGGGACAGTCATCTAGGGGTGTTTCAGATTTTAGCAGCAAATTCAGCTGCCCTAGTGGGAGCCACTGAAGGTCAACCGAGTCTGCGTTCCCTCCACACTGGCCGCCACATCGGGATACTTGCCAGAAGTCACTATCTGACTGAGACGATCCCGAATTTCTGCTTTGGCTGCTGGCCAACTGGGGTGGGGCAGGCAAGGATCCCTGCTGTGTGCCGAGGAGCCCTGGTCAGGTCCAGGCTCAGCCCCACACCTCTCTTCTCAGGAGACCCTGGGGCTCCCCTATCCAGAGTGGGGAGGCCCAAGTCAGGGGTCAGAGAAGGTGGGCATCTAAGGATTTTGCCCAAAGCCAAGAACTGTGCTCCCACAGGGGCTGTAAGTGCCCCAAAGCCCTGGACCAGTGCCCACGGGCTGGAGGGAGGTGAGGCCAGCCAATGAGAGAAGCTCTGGCCCCACTCCCAGCCTGGTGCTGCCTGAGGACAGCCTCGGTTGCAGAGCCCAGGCGGGGCCAGGAACAGGGGAGCCACTGCAGATTCGTGAGTAAGTGGGGAGTGCTGTCAGGTTGACACTTCAGAAAGATGGTTCAGGCCAGATGGAAGGGAGAGGCCAGACTGACCGCGAGAACCTGCCCCGGCTGCCTGTCTCCCATGGGTCAACTTCCTCTCTCTCCAGCATTCAGGGTCCTCCAAGATCTGGTGCTTGGCAGCTGCTTGTCTCCTGTGAGAATTCCTTCTGCTCCCACCCAATCTGCTCTGCTCATCACCCGCTGCCACTGGCCTTCGCTCGCACATGCCCCCGTGCAGTGCCATCCCTGGGTCTCCTCCTTCCAGAACTTGGCAGCTGGGAGCACAACCTCCCCAAGTGCCACAGACCTGGCTTCATCATCGCCGAGCTGTGTGATCTGGCAAGCCACTCAGCCGACCCTGCGCAAAAGGGGGAAGGCAGCTGGGAAGCTGAAGGGAGGTGAGGCCTGCCGGGGACTTAGCATCGTGCCTCCTCTCATCCTCATGAAGGACCAGGTCATGTCCACCACCCTGGGAGGCACTGTCCCACAGCCCCAGCATGGGGCTGGAGCCCCAGCATGAGGGACGGGAGCCTCCTCAGCAGACGTGGCCTGTCCAACCTCCCGTGGAAGTTGGTCCCTCCTGCACCCCCTCTCCACCCAGCGGCTCTGAGGTGGGCTTGGGAGCACCTGGACATCCCGCTCCCACCCTGGGGGCCCACTTCAGACTCTCAGTTCCCACCCAGGCCTTCCCCGGACTGTGTAGGATCCAAGACCAAGGGACAAATGGAAGTTTCTCATATGTCTAAATATTTTTAAGTTATATGTTGAGTTAACCAACTTAAATAAAATATGCTCTGTGCTCCTACTTTGACAAATTTCCTTTATAAGGACCTGGAAGACCAGGCTGATTTCAGATGGTGACCTTGCAGTTATGCGCTGGAACATAATGGCCTATAGAGAGCCGGCCCCTGGCCCTTTGAGCGCCGCCCCCCCGGTTCTGTCCTGCACCGAGGGGCTCTCTGTGCATGTGTGGACAGCCACCCACACACTATGCTCAGTCCACACCTTCCCAAATCAACAGTCCCCTGGTCTAAGGAAGCAGATGCCTGTGGCGACACAGTCTGCCTTTGACATTCACAGGGAGAAGCCCATGCAGAGCCTGGGCTGGGGACCACTGAGCAGCATATTTGGGGTCCTGGGTAGGGCCCCATTCTGCCAGTGGTCTGGGAGGTTGAAGTGCCTCCTGGCCTGCTTCACTAAGGGGTAGAGGACTTAGCCTGGCAGATGGCATTAGGTCTTGTGGGAGCCTAAGGGGGTGCTCGGGGTAGGACAGCGGGGAGGGGCCAGTGAGCTGAGAGGGTGGCCTGGGGAGAGAGAAAGGGACTCAGCCGTCTAGGAGAACGACTCACATCTCTGTGCAGCCCATCCTTTCCCTCCCGCACCTCTTCACACATGCTCTGTGCAAACCTTGCCCAAGGGGTCACCAACGAGCCACCCTTCTCCGTCCGCCAAGCCTTTCCCATGCTGTCTGCCCTGCCTGCAGAGCCCTCTCCTGTTTAGCTGACTCCTTTGATCCCTGGAGACCCCCTTTTCCTCCAAGGTCCCTCCTCATGCTCCCTGAAGATTAGCTGCCCATTCTACTCTATTGATGTGACCCCATGGCCATGTGTCACAGTGGCCAGGATTCACCTGTCCTCACATTCAGTCACACTTGTCACCAGATGTGGGCCTTGTAGGGAAGGTTTTCTGCAGCACCTGGGGGTCACTGTGGCCAGGCGTGCCAGGCCCCCTGCAGCCGCAGCCACACGACACGAGACCCCAGTGGGAAGAGCACCTTTATTGTCAGAGTGTTACAGACTTCCTGGCCACCTCTGACCACCCCCCACGAAGACAGGCCTGTGGGAGGCTGCACCTTGGTCCCAGGGACAGCTCTGCCTCAAGAGGGGCAGCCAGAGCCTTGGGAGCAGAGGAGGTTACCAGGGTGGGGAGCGGGCCATGGCCTCCCAGGGGCACCTAGAGTGCCGGGCACGGATGGGGTCCTGCTGCAAGGGGACCGTGCTCGGGGTGGTGCCAGCACCTATGAATCTCGGAGTTGCCCTTGCTTGAGTGTGGGTCCTGGCCCAGCAAGAGAAGAGCACCAGGGTGTGCGGGTCACAGGGGACCCATGGCCTGAGCGGCCTTGAATGGCTTTGAGGGCTATGGTCTGAGCTGCTCTGTCTGGGGCACCAGGGACCCAGGCTGCCTGGGTCCACCGCACTGAGGGTGGGCGCACCTGTCCCCTGCAGGGCCTGGGACCCTGGCAGCCCTCCTTTCTCCACTTCATCAAGAGGAAGTTAGACTAGTCATGTGATGCAGAAATGGCCAACCCTACAGATCCTAGAGACTGGGAGAGGGCGGGGCTGCCAGTGACTCCCCTTGAGGGCACATGTTCCATCAAATCCTCCCTCCTCCGGCTCAGGGGTGGGAGGCCCTGGGGGGGCGGGGCTCAGAGAGACTGGGAGGCAGCTGTGGGCTGTGCAATTTGGTTTGAGGACCCTGGCACCCTAACGCTCCTTTCTCAACCCCCAGGTCCTGGTGACGTCATGGTTTATGGAGGGTCTCCCTGGCCCCGAGCCAGGGCCCTGTCCTCCTTCCCCCTCTCTGGTCCAGCCTCCCCACAGCCCTGTGCTCGTGCTGTCTGAGTTTCTTGTCAAGAGGGGAAGATGGCCAGGTAGAAAGTTCAGGAACTGAGAGGCCTGGGTTCAAATCCTGCCCCAGCCCTCCATGGTCTGGTGGCTTTGCAGGTTATTGATCCTCTCCAAGCCTCTGTTCCCCATGTAAAGTGGGGGTGACAAGCCTACCTCCTAAGGGTTAAATGAGACAATGTAGGGAGAGCCCCTTGGACAGGCCCAAACCTCACAGGAACTCAGTAAATGATAAGTATTATGATTATTCTCAAACCCTGCCTGGCCCACCCACACTCTGTCTCCTGAAGGGGGTGGGAAACGGGAGGGCAGGAACAAGAACAGGGCTCTGCCAAGGGTTCTGGGCCCCTCTGGACCCTGCCACTGGGGGTACCATCTGTCCCCAAGGCCCCCAAGCCCTAGGGGCCAATGTCCCTCATGATTGTCCGTGCCTGGAGCCCAGTTCCATCAGGGGTGCCTTCAGGATCCAGTGGCGGCACAGGCTTCAGGGCTGGGTCTCTGGTAGGCTGGGTTTGTCCTGGAGAGTTGGGCCCTTACTTTCCGCTGCTGGCCCGGCCTGTGCTCTTCTGCACAGGGTAAGGGCCAAGCAGGGCAGCGAGGGAGCCATCGGGCGGGGCGCCGCCACGCTTCATCTTGAGGTTGGCTCTCAGGGCGGCATCCTGGCCGGAGCCCCCCTCGGGGGAGGCCAGGGGATCTGGAGGGAGAGCAGGAAGGTGGGCCTTGGGAGCACTCAGAGGCACCTTCGCGCCTCCTCCCTGGCCGGCAAAGGGAGTGCTGTGCCCAGCGAGGACAGGGCTTCCCAGCCGTGAACTTGGAGCAGGTCCTTACGTGGGAGTTGGTGTTTAGCAGGTGGATGGACCAGCTTGGGCGAAGGCACAGAGGTGGGAGGGGGCCTGGGATGACTGGATGGTGGCTCTCTGAGCACCAAGCTATGCTGGGCAGGGACGGAGGACTTGATGAATCTAGATGTTAGCAGGGAGTCACTGAGGGTCCTTGAGCAGGGAGGGACAGGGTCAGGCTGAGGTTTGGGGAAAACTACCTGGCAGCCAAGTGAAGGGAACACAGAGGCAGGGGGACCAGAGACCGTGGCAGCTGTCAGGAGGGTGGCACGGAGTGGGGCGGGAGGAGCAGAGGGAGACTCCCAACTCTGGGGCCAGCTGTGGGCCCGCCCATTCCTGGGCCCGGGGCACCACTCACCGTGGATCCCAATCATGTGCTCCAGAATGAGGACTCTCTCTGCCAGGATCTTCAAGGCCTCCCGTAGCTGCTGTACCCCCTCGCCCTGGCAGGGAGGAAACAGCCAGGGTCAGGGCCGTTCCGCTTCCTTGTACATGCTGTCCCCATTACCGCCTCTTCCCTCCTGTCATCATCATCACTACGACAGCCACCATCCACTATGTGCCAGAGATGCCGTCTGAAATCTTGTTCACAGACAGGGAACCTGAAGCACAGAGAGGGTAACCAGAGTCCCCTGGACACACAGCCTGGAAGTGGCTGACCAGGGCTTCGCGCCCAGACCTACTCCCTTGAGTCTGGGCTATTCCTGCTCCACAGCTGCCCGACTGCTTCCCCCGTGTTTCCGTCCTGGCACTGCCCACCCGAGAGCCGATAGAAGAGGGGAAGGAGAGCCACTGGTTCTGGGGCACTGGCAGGAGGGCAGGACGATGGCGAGACTGCATTTCTGAGCCCTGGCCTGACGTGGGCAGAGGACCCTGTGTGCCAGATGCGAGAAGGAGCTGATTAAGGAGAAGCCAGGTGTCAAGGCTGGTTTGAAAAGAGAAGCGATGATGAAAAGACAAGGTCCTGCCTGGAGTCAGCAGCAAAATGGACACCTTTTGCTGGTGTAACATGACAACTGTCATGACATTCAGGTTCATTTAGCTTGAAACAAAACAAAAGGAAACCAAAAAGCATCCTACTGGGTGACAGGAGACAGGTCTTCCCACCAGCAAACCAAAGTCCACCAGAAGCTGTGCTGTGGAGGACAGTGTCTGGGTTGGGGATGCCCCAGTGAGGAGCAGGGAGTCCAGGACCCGTCAGGGACCCAGCTAAGCCCCATGTCCCTGGGCCACAGTGCACACTCTTATGAATCGGGGAGGGAGAAGTCACCGGTGCCCTCTCAGTCTGGCATCGCCAGCGGCCCGTGACTCTGTGCTCATGCCCCAGCGCACATCTTCCTCCCGCTGCCTCCTGAGCCCACCACGGCGGCTCTGGTTCTAGCATCTTCCCCTGTTTCCAGTCCCACAAGGGCTGCTGGGAGGCCCACAGCCCCAGTCCACCTCCCACAGCTGCCTGCCTCCAACGCTCACCTCACCAGACACCCCCTGCTTAGAACCTCCCGCAGCTCGCTCCCTTAGGAGCCACTTGTCTGCTTGGGGTGCTTCTTCTCTGCCTGCAAGGCCCCCCTGCTGGCCCCAGAGCCCTCGTCCCCTTATCCATCACCTCAGTCCCCAGTGCCCCTCCTGCTCCCAGAAGGTAGACGGTCTCCATGGTCATGTCCTCACCCCACTGTGCCCTCCCCACCCATCCTGTCTGGGTCCCTGAGCTCCCATCTTCACTCCCTCATCACCCTCTCTCATCCACCAGCCTCTGTTCACCTGCCCCTGCCCCTGTGGGCACATCAGTGCAGGAGGTGCTGGGCATGGATAGCCTGTCCCTGGAGAGGGACCCCACATCCTAAAGCCTCTTCTGCAGGTCTGTGGCTCCTGTCCTCTCCAGCAGGGTCTCCCTGGCCCCCCACCCTGAGCCAGTCACCCCATCTGTGCTACCCCCATAGCAGAATCTTCACACTATGCTGTGATTTTCACTCATCTGTTTCCTACACTGGGCTGGGACCCCATTCACGCTGTGGGAGGTGCTGGGGTCAGGACTGAGGGGTGTCAGTACAGATATGTCGGGTACCCGCTCTCCCACTCAGATGCTGGTGGGGAGGAGGTAAGCAGGGCCAACGGCAGTTACCTCCGCAGCAGCTTTCTCCTCCTCTTCCCCCTTCCTGCCCGGCTCGCCCTAGGGAGAGAGTCACGCAGTCAGCAGGTGGGTGGGGCGCTGGGGAGAGCGGAGCAGTGGAGGGCCAAGGCCTGGTCACCCTCACAGCCTCACTCGGGAGGTGTCTAAAGTTGGCTTTAGGGGCTTCATTCTGCTTCTGGGGCAGGGGGCGTCTGAATTGGAACCTCCTGACCTCATGTCTTGGCTCTTCCAGGGATCAAGTCCCCTGCCTCTTAGGACTCTGCTTTCCTGTCTCTAAAATGGGGCCAGCCTCACAATAACACCTACCTGGTATTTACTCCTCCGTGTGACCTTGAGCAAGGTACTTGACCTCTCTGTGCCTCAGTGTTCTCATCTCTACAATGAGGCAAGAATAGTATCTACCTCATAGGACTCTCAGAAGGACTAAGTAAATCTACGTGGATAAGGAGCCTAGACTGGAGCCCGGCACCCGAGGCGCTGTGAGGTGTCATACATTACTCGACAAGCCCAGGAGGAGGCATGGCTTTGGAGGCTAACACGCCTGGGTTTACATCTTGGCTCTACAGTTCTTCCTGTGTGGCCTTGAAAAAGTTACTTAACCTCTCTGAGCTGCCAGATCTGGCAAATGGGCATAATAAAGTTCAATCTTGCTGGGTTGCTGTGAAGCTTAAGTACACTATGGATGAAAAGCGCCTCCACTGTGGCCAGCACATAGGTGCTCAGCAAAGATCCACCCTTTCTCCCTCCTACCTCCCTCCCCATAAGGCCTTGGGCACAAAGGGGGTTCTCCTCCTAGGGCAGTGGTTCTCAACCTTCCTAATGCCGTGACCCTTTAATACAGTTCCTCATGTTGTGGTGCCCTCCAACCATAAAATTATTTTCTTTGCTACTTCATAACTGTAATTTTGCTACTGTTATATCTTAGGTGACACCTGTGAAAGGGTCATTTGACCCCCAAAGGGATCGTGACCCACAGGTTGAGAATCACTGCCTTAGGGGCAAGAGTTGAGGCTCATAAATTCTTGTTTCCAAGAATGGAAATTAGAAGTCAGCTTTCTCAGCCTCTTAAATTCTGGGAGGTTCAGAGTCAGAAAGGGATGCTCTAGGTCCACCGTGTGTTAACCCAGGGGTCCGGGCTCCCTGGAGGAGAGACCTCGAGACTCTCATCTGAGCCCCTCTGGCAGTAGGTTACTTCAGCCCTTGCTCACACTCCCAGGGAGGGGCTCCCGACCTCCCAAGGTCACCCCTTCTCAACTTGGGCATCTGGGTTGCACTCAGGCTGCCCCTTTTGTCCTCTGCCCCACGCTGGCTGGGTGGGAAAGGCCGCCTGGGAGAGCTCCCACCCGCCAGCGCCCAGGGCCTGCTCCAGGGCCCGCTCCAGGGCCCACTGCCTCAGGTGCAGCCTACCTGAAGGCCCCATACTTACAGACGGCCCCGTCATGCCCCGCTCTCCAGCCAGGCCCTGCACAAAATCAAGTAAAGCAGATTAGTCCCTCCCTGCTCTCTCTCGCCACCCCCCCAACCCCCACAGCTGATCTGGGCTCTGGATCTGAAAAACAGGACAGGAGGACAATGGCATGGAGGGATGGGAAGGCCACACTTGGGGGCTTCCCAGGTTCTGCAGCCTCCCTCCTCTGGCTCCTGAGTGAGCCTTAGCTGAGCCCTCAATCTTCTCATCTGCAAATGGGGCAATCAGAAAAGGGGAATGGATGACAAAGCGCGCATCCCCCCTCCCCATGTGAGCAAAAGACCCTCAGAGACCGAGTGACAGCAATGGCAATATCGAGGGTACCACATGTGGACTGTTAGTATTCATGCACTGGCCACCGGCTGCCAGCCTTAGGGACGGACCGCAGCAGGAGGCAAGGGGTCAAGATGCCAGTGACCTGAAGACCCTCCAGGCTCATGCGCAGCCACAGCCTCTTGAGGGCAGTTGGACAAGCAGCTCAGACTCAGTCCCCGTGAACCTCCTTGGAATCTTACAGACCTGGGTCCCCACAAGGACATGGTCTGCAGAGCCACCTGAGCCAGGCCTGCCCACAAAGGCCTGGAGGACCATGAACACAGACCACCCGGCAGGATAAGGCGAACCCGAAACACCCACTGCACTCTTGGCAGGGCTGGAGGCAGCTGGAGAAAGCCAGAAAGGAGCCTGGCCATCCAGGACCCCAGCTCTGCCCCTGCTGTGCTTCTCCAGTGAGCGGCAGAACCTCTCTGAGCCTCCACTTCCCCAGTGCTGCTGGGAGTAAATGATGGGATCCCTGAAAGCAGGTGGCATGAGCAGATGGGGTGACAGTTGGGAACAGTCATCCCTGACCATGCCCATTGCTGTGGGCTGACAGCTGGAGGGGCACCACTGCCCAGAGCTCGGGGTGTGTGGAGCTCAGCCACCTCCTGGGGTTCCCTGAGTCTCTGTCCCTCACCACAGACTTCTCAGTCACTGTCATTCTCTCACCTGCTCCCCAACCCCTCTCTCCAGGGCCTGTGGCTGGGGCCTGAGGGGCCAGGAGGGGACCCCTGGGGTGCCTGGCTCTGGGGGCCTCCCAACCCCTCCGCTGCCCTTGTCTTACCCCATGGCCTGCCAGCCCGGTCTATCCCACCTCCTCTCTCGCTCTGCCCCGTGCTGTATGCGGCATGCCCCTGACAGTGGGTCTGTGCACCAGCCACCCCTGTCCCTCCATGCCGCTTCGTCCTGGTGTGAAAACACACCATGGGGACAACAGGGAGTGCATCAGTTCATGGGATGCTGGTTCTCTGACGTCCAGAACATAAGCTTTAGGGGGCTGGGCTGTCATCAGATAGGGGACTGGCACCCTCACAGAGACTGGGGAATATTTGTCATTTAACTAGAGGGATGAATAAAGGAATGGGACTACCCAGGTCCCAGTGTCCACCGGGCCAAGGCCAGGATCCACGTCCCTTGCAGGGAGGGGCCCCCTCTCAGCCCCCCAAGCCCCTGGGCCAGGGCTCTAGAGCAGCAGAGCCCTCAGTCTGGATGAGCAAGGCCACGTGCAGGACCTCCCAGCACTGTCCTTTCTGCCTCCAGCGGCATCCTGGGCCCTTCCTCCTCCTCGTGTGATTTTCCTCCCAGGCTCCTGGGCTCTCGCAATACAAGGGGCTGCCACCTGGCACTTCCTTTCTCTTTCGCTCCCTATAACAACCTGCAAGGGGGCCCTGTACTCCCCGAGCCCAGAGCCCAGAGTCACACAGCTAGAAAGTCAGAATGAGCTGGGCTTGGAGCACCCATCGGGCTTTGAGGTGACCCTTCCCACATAGGTTAGTCTCAGGGAGTAGGGGTGACAGGCTGGGGTGGACGTTCTGTGATTCTGGCCTCTCTGGATCTCAGTTAGCTCGTCAATAAAATGGGAATGATGCTAACACCTCCCTGGCATAGGAGAAAGGAGCAGCAAAGCACACTGCTGCTAATAGAACCAGAACCTCCTGCCTACTTGGCCCTGGGTCCCACTTAGGCCCAGGTGGGGACCCGTCCGGTGACTGGTTTCTTCCTGAGCAACTCTTGCAGGCAAGAGGCCCGGCTCCTCCTTTCCTGGAAGACGATGCCCTGTCACACGCCAGACATGGGAGAGGCCTTACCTGGGATCCAGGTGCACCTGGGGGCCCTGGGGGACCGTGTGGTCCTGGGGGACCTGATGGCAGAATCACAGAAGGTTACCTGGTGACAGAGAAGCCCTCTACCCCCCATTAGCTCTGGAAAGGGACATTCCCACCCTCCCACCCCAGCTCCTGCCCTGGGTCTGTCTCCTTGGGCAGCAAAGATTTGGTGAGTGAATGGTGGGAAAATGGGGAGCACACTTCTCTGGCCTCTCCTGCCCATACTCAGAGCAGACACCCCACCTCCACCCACTGTCTCATGCAACCCCTTTACCCAAACCTGCTGCTCCCCGGGCCTCATCCACGGCCCACTCTGCAAACTGTCCATAGCCAGCCAGGCCTCTGGCAAATCTCTCCTGCATCTGCCCCTCTTTGGGGCTTTGGACCGGCCCTTCCAAGGTCATCCTTCTTGCCTGGGTTACGACAATTGCTTCTTGATCACCCACCCTCCACGCAGACACCCAGGAAGCAACCGTGCAGTGAGATCCCTCTCAGCCCAGCCCAGATAACCTTCTGGAAAGTTCCTCTGCTTCTGTGCCTTTCCAATGCTGCTCCTTCCTCCTGGAGCTTCTCCACTCCTTCCATATCCTTGCAAATTCTTTCCTACTAACCTCAGGCTGAGCATCTCCTCCTCCAGGAAGCCTCCCTAACACCCGCGCCCACCTCTCCTCTAGGCAAACTCCTGATCCGGACAAGCCACCACCCCTGGAGGCTGTCGGTTTACATGTGTGGCTGCCTCATGGGTCAGAGAAAGCCCAGAGGGTCAGGCTGGGCCACGTGGGCCCCGCACAGGAAGCAGTGTTCATGAGTGAACTTGCAGCACTTGGAAGAGTGAGCCCTGTCCCTGCCCTCCGGGGCTGTAGGGAGCCCCCAATAGGCTGGACCAATGTGCCCCCCATGCTTGAGGAGGACCTGCAGAAAAGTGCAAGTGGGGTGCACATCTGGACTCAGTCAAAAACAACCCTCCCCCCTCCAGTCACAGCAAATTACCGGAGGTCCCACGTACTCTCAAGCTCACTCCCTCATCTCGTCCCAGCGGTTACTCAAATGCCACCTTTGTGAGGCCTGCCCTGGACTGGCCCTCGCCCAGCCCTGCCTTCCCTCTGCCCTCTGCTCAGATCTGTGGACTTCACTGCCTTAGAGAATTTGAGCTAAGTCTGCCTTCCTCCGCTAGAATGTACGCACCACCAGGACAGGAACCTTTGTTTAGTGACAGAGACCTAGAACACTGCCCAGCAGGTAGCATTTGCTCAGTGAGTATTAGTTCAACGTGTAAGAGAGTAAATAAATGACAGGAAGTGAGTGCTCTGGGCCTGGGGACATCCACACAGCTGGGTGGGCAGGGGCAAGTGGCTCTTGCCCCAAATTTCCCTCTGTGAGGGCCCACGGAGGTGGAGGTCAAGCCAGATCCAGGCTCAGCCCATTGAGCCCCAGGGCCATCCCCTCCCCCAGGGCCACTGGTTTCTGCCTCAAGGCCTAGGGCCTGGTGCCTCTCCTAGGCCCCTGCCCCACCTGGGCTGCCCTGTGCTGACTCCACCCTCCCCCTGGGCCTGGGCCTTCGTGCATCCTGGTGCATTCGCCACTCTGGTCCACATGAGGGCAGCTCTGAATTGCTGTACGTGGGCATCAGGAACTTGGGGTTCCTGTGACCAGTCCCACAGGTGAGCTACCAAACAGCAGGCCGGGGCAGACCTAGTCACTAGCACCCTGCCAAGGCCACGGGCCCCCTAATAGCCCCCTCAAGCCTCTTGGCTTAAGCCAAACCCAGGAGGGGGTACCCAGTCCAGACGTCCAGACCACCTGGTGCTGCTGCCCTCTGCACTTACCTGGAGGGCCGGGGGGACCCCGGGGTCCTGGGACACCGGCCAGCACCGTGTCCACGGCGGCAGAAGCCAGCTGTGAGTCTCCATCTGTGGGAAGAGCAGATGGCCTGTGACCTGGCAGGGTGGAGCCGGCAGAGCTGGGCGGCTGGACCTGAGGTCCCCCAGAGTAGGAATGGGCACCCCAGACCCTACTGGGCCTCAAAGCAGCCCTGGCAAACAGATGCGACTGCTCTCACTGCTCAGAAGAGCACAGGAAGGCCAGGCCAAAGGGCAGCGAAAGCCCAGTGGGCTTCATATAAAGACAAACTCCTTCCTGGGCGTCTCAGACCCTTAGATCCTGGCCAGCCCCACTTACCTCCCCGAGGCCCCAGGCTGGCACTGTCTTCCAAGCTCTATCGCACATGCCTGTCCAGCTGGCTCACTCATTCGGGGCCTCCTCCAGGAAGCCCTCCCCGCCCATACCTCCGAGCTGCCTCCATCAGGGCTCTGGGCAAGGGGGGGCCTATCTAATGGCCTGTCTCCCAAGGCCCGGTCTCCTCTAGGGTGAGCCCCACGTGACTTCACCCTGCCCGTCCCCAGAGCAAGGCCCAGAGCAATCAGGTCCAGGACATGTCTGGGATGAGAGTGGCTACCTCTGCCCCTCCCTCCACACACAGAGCCTGGACAGTCCTTCCATAGGCCGCACAACAGGTGGGCCCCTGTGGGTGCGCAGTCCCTACCAGCTCCCTACTGGGGCATCCCCACTCTTCCCAAATACTCACACCCCAAAGGCTGCCCTCCCTCCGGGACCCCAGGGCTGGGGGTAAGGAGAGTCCTATCTGAGGGGGGCTCTGGGCACTGGAGGTGGTAGGCCGGCAGTGTCAGACACAGAGTGTCATGCCTACAGCCCTTGGAGGGCTCCTCGAGGCCCAGCGGTGTAGGCTGCTGAGCCCTGGGATCCTCAAGTGCATCACATGCTCTATCCATTCTCTTCCTTCCCAGGGGGCATCTCTAAGCCCACACGCGGGTGAGAAAGCTGTGACCAGTGAGTTACCATGTGCTCCGGATACCCCATGAGAGAGGTGGGCCCCTCCCCAGGCCCTGCTCACAGAGGACACCTCAGGACCCCTCATTTGCTTGGGAATGAATCCTCCTTCCTGGTTCAGGCTCTGTTTTACAAGCCCCGCAACTTCATCAAGGAATATCATCACTCCTAGTTTACAGAGGCTCAGAGAGGGACTGTGCAGTTCAGGTCCAGGTCTTTACGCTCAGGCTGTGCTGCCTGAGGGGACAGAAGTACCAGCAGGACAGGGGTTGGGGCTTCTTTAATAGCTGACAAAAGGTCCCCAGGATGTACCCACCCTTTCCTCAACATTTTAAGTCAATCCTGCCATTTTGCTTCTTATAAAACCCTTCCCAGGTTGCCCAGTGCACTTAACAAAAATGATGTTCCCCATGGGCCTCAGCCCCCCCCCCCCCCGCTGGGCTTCCCCCTGTAGGGCAGTGTTTCTGGGAGCTCAGAGATGCCCCCCTGCACTGGCCTGCGGCCCCTGAGGCAGGCGTCTGTTTTCCTCCCTGCTGTATCCCAGTGACCACACACAATAGGCGCTCAATCAGACTTGTCGGATGACCACAGTGAGGGGGTGGGATGAGGAGATGGGATAACGGGTGACCCCAGTGGTGCTGCCATCACCGTGCAGGGCAACTGAGGCCAGGCAAAGAGCACAGTGACCTTTGAGGGGGTCGGGACCCTAGGGGCAGGAGCTGAGCACCAAGGCAGGGACAGGTCATGTTGGGCCCAAAGTGGGGTTGGGGGGTCAGTACTGGTCCTCAGGGCATCCCCGACTGTCCAAGCCCACTCCCCAGCCAACACCCCACTCGCTGATAGGCCCTCGTGGGGTCCTCTGGGGAGGGCTAATCCCTCAGCAGACAGTGTGGCTCAGGCCTGCCCCCCACCCTCAGGCCAGCACTCACTGTCCTTGTCGGTAGGTGGCTGCAGGGAGTACAGGACGCCTTGGGGGCCATTTGGAGAGAGGCCCGGGCTGCCTGCTGGGCCGGGGGGGCCAGGGGGTCCGGGGCGCCCCATCTCTCCAGGAAGCCCGCGGGGCCCTGGCGGCCCTAAGAGGCCTGCAATGGGGAGAAGAGGAGTCATGTGAGGGCCTGGCAGCCAATATTACTGATAGAAAACAGGCCCTAACGGGGACAGAGTTGGCAAGGGTCAGTGGTGGCCTCTGGACCACAGTCTCCCTAGAGGGCTGTCTTGGAATGTGAGTGAAATGGCTTCCCCTTCCCCGCCTCGTGCAGAGGGACCCCTGGGCAGCCGGTGGCAGGGGAGGGAGGCAGAGAAGGCTCTGGCCTGATGCCCTCTGCTCCCTCCAGGGACCTTAGTTCTGGGGCAGGAGCACCAAGGGTGGCGGCCAGCCTTATGAGGGGTCACCGCCCAGCAGGACCCAGGAGGAGTTGGGGCGCTCTAGAGATGTTTAAATGATTGAGAACAACTCCCGGCTCCTGGAGCCCCCGCCTGCGCCCCCCATGCCGGCACCCACCGCTCCAGGAGCCTTCTCTTCTTCCTGCAGCCCAGGTGAGACCAGGCCTAAACTGCCTGGGACGGGCAGCAATTGGGGTGCTGGTGGGTTTATGAGACGACTCGTCTGCTTAGATAGGGGAGCAACCCAGTCCCCACTCCCCAGGAGACAAAGGATAAAGTCAGTGTCCTTACCAGGAGGCCCTGCTGGGCCTTTCTCTCCTGCCTGGCCCCGGTCACCTTTGGAGCCTGGGGGGCCCGCAGGCCCTGGTGGTCCTGTCTGTCCTGGGGGCCCTGGGGAGAGAACAAGAAAAGGCCTGAGAACATGGGGAATGCGCTGGTGGCTCCAGGCTTGGCCACCTGAGCTGTCTGAACGGACATACCCTGGAGCCCTGTCCACCTGAGGCTTCCTCCAATGGGCACAGGAGCCACAGTCAACTCAAGTCAGTCATTATAGCTGACACATCATTTTTACACCAATTAACCTCTCTGGTCTTAAAGGCTACTTTTCCCCCCCAGTTATTTTTGCTTCAATTTATTTCTAAAGCAGCAAATCAACTGAGTAAAAGGTAAAAATGAGCTTCATATCAAAAGCTACTTTTGTTTTCATTTGACAGGTGGGGAAACTGAGGCTCCAGAAGATATGGTCCCTTGCTCAAGATCCCAGAGCCAGGCTGTAAATGAGTCAAGTTCCCTCTCTCCACATCCTCCTGTCTCCCTGCTCAGAGCTGGGGAACCGGCTTGTGGCAAAGAGCTCCCTCTAAGCCTCCTCACAGGCTCCAGGAAGCCCCAAAGGACTCGCCTGCCACCTCCGGGGGGTCCCAGCCCCAGGGGTGAGTGAGAGGTGATAGAGGTAAGAGGCCCACCGTGTGGCCTGGGGACAGCCCCTTCCCTGTGGAATTCCGGGAGAGAGTGCTCACAAACGCTTGCTGGACAATGGAGGGGTCTGCGCTGGCTCCTAAGGCCCTTCCATCTCCGGCTGCACGTGACTGTGGTCCAGGAGGAAGGGCTTGACCCACTGCTGCTTTGGGGAGATTCCACCTGCTCTCTGGGAAGCCGGTGTCACCATTTGTAGGGTTTGTTCTCCACCTGGTGGCCATTTCTTGAACTACACTTTCTTCTGGCCCTGAAGACCCAGAGCCCCTCCTAGCCCCCCCACCCCCAGCCCCCAGGGGGTCTAAGGCCTGTGTTCTCCCTCCGCTTGGTGACCTCCTTCTTTTTCAGTCTTGAAGAAGGGTTTAAAGAACACGGGTGTGGTGCAGCCCCTTCGGGTGAGACCTTGGGAACAGTAGCTAGAGAAGTGAGCCAGGGGACCCAGTGAGAGGCTCCCCCAGGCCTACAGCAGGCCTGAGCTCACCCTTCCTCCCACAGCCTCAGCCCCTCAGAATAGTACAAAGTATCTGCTCCTCCCGTGGCCCCAGGACCGGCCACTGGAGGCCAACTCTCCCACTGCCAGGGTCGCCCTCCAGCTCTGCTCCGCCGCCAGTGGGCACATATGTGAGGCAGGGCCGAGTGCTCAGAGCTGAGCCTGGGCAGTGCTGAGAAGCTGGGGGCTCACCTGGGAGAGGGGGGGGAAGGGGAGGATCGCTGGTAAGTAGTTTTCTCCTCTGTAAGCCCAAGCTTTACGAGCCTACCAGAATGACGAGAAAGGATATCTGTTCAGATTAGGGTGATATAGAAATATTTAATAACTGGCAGAGCGTGGATACTTACTGACCAGTCAGAAAGGACACCAGCCTTAAACTCCCGAGTTCAGCCATACTGACAAGTGCCAACCAAACATCCACTCAGGCAAAGGCCCTGCACCGTGCCTGGTACAGGCAGCCATTCAAAAATTCGAGCTGCTATTACTATAGTTATTATTACTATTTGCAGGCTCTGAGGACAGAATCCTGACCAATGGATGGAAGCTGCAGAAGGAAATGTTTATTCCTGACTTTAAAATGTGGAGGGAGCCCTGGCCGGTTTGGCTCAGCAGTTGGAGCATCGACCTGCGGACTAGAGAGTCCTGGGTTCAGTTCCAGCTAAGGGCACGTACAAAAAATGAAAAAAATTTTTTTCAAAAAATGTGGAGGGAAGGGAGAAAATAACAGGACAGTAGAAGTCCTCCCACTCCAGCAGGAGAGTTCAGCGAGGCAGTAGCTCCTGTCCCCAGGGGGATGCAGTCAGGGGTTGCTATAAATTGAGCCAACCAAGGAGTAGGCTGTGTTGAGGGCCTAAATGAAGATGCCAAGCCAGGGGCATCAGGGCAGCTACTGACAGTAGCTGGACTGTACAATAAGGAATGGTGGGGACTGTGGTAAACTGCAGTATGGACAAGGTCAGGGGCAGACATGACTTAGCTGTAGCCAGTTGTTTTCAGGAGGGACGACCAGCCCCAGTGGCCAAATCCTCCACTTTTCTAAGAGAAGCCAGGAATCCTCATTTGTATGGGAACCCCCCAGTGTTTAAATGGTAGCTCAAGAATTTAAAATGCCATGTGGGCACATTTGACCCAGAGACTTGGTGTGTGACCTACTTGTGGACTCCTCGAGAGGCCATGCCCGGGACCCTTTGGCTGGTCCAGGCCCTCCCCTGTGGGCCGTACTCACCAGCTGGGCCTGTGGGCCTTCTTCGGGGCCCTGGGTGGGCGAGAGGGATAGCGTCAGGGAGGAAGTCCTCATTCCAGGGTGGTGGGGTGCTCTGGGGGGCTGGCAGGTCATTGTCTCGGCTTGGGGGCCGCTCCGCTGCTTCCAGCAGGAGAACCTGGGCCAGAGAAGGGCAGAGGGTCAGGCCTGGGCCAGGCCAGGGATACACCCGGATGGCAAGAGTGCCCCATGAGACCCGCAGCTGCCGGCGCTGCCGGCTTGGGGGCCACCTCCTTAGTTGGACCACCACTCCCCTTGCCAGAATGCTCTCCCACCCCTGTCCTCCTCTCCTGCCCACTTCAGGAGAGCCCTCCTGCACCCTTGGGCTCGAGCCGGTCCCCACTGGACACTTTCAGAGTCCCTGTACATTTTTCTAGAGTGGCCATTACTGGGATTGGAGGTCTGTGGTTGTTTGAGAAATGACCATGGTCACCTCTACCTCACTGGCTCCTCCCGATGGCGGGGGCCGAGCACGCTTGTTCCCCACACGGCCTGGCTCAGGGCACAAGCAGTATGGTCAGGCAATATTTGTGGATGGATGGAAGATGGGAGGGAGGAAAATAAAGAGAGAAAAAAGGAAGAGAGAGTGACAGAGAGAAGAACAAGAAGGAAAGAAACAAAGAAAGAACAGGAAAGGCCTAGCTGGGTACGTGAATTTTAGTAGACGCCCCAAGAAAACAAAGGGAGGCCGTGATCGCGGAGGGGCAGCCTGGAAAGCAGCCTCATCTCCCCTTGAGGGAGCCAGGGGTCAAAGGCTGCGAAGACCCAGAGCCTGGGCAAGGAAACTCCCTAATTCTCTTGAACTGGGAGCCAGGCTTCAGTGGCCCCAGCAAAGCCCTGCTACCTCCAAAGAGGCCAGCAGAGGGCACTGTGTGCCCAGGATCAGTGCAGGGCAGGATGGCAGGTACCTAGAACCTAGGTAGACCCACCCAGGCGGTGAGGTGGGAGGAGGGCACTGGGGTCCCACAGCTGTGTTAAATGGAGTCCGGCTTTCTGCTCCCACCCCGTGGTGTGTCCCTGGTCTCAGTGCCCCATCCGACTGATGGGGAGGAAGAAGTCTGGTGTCTCAGGTTCACTCCAGCTCTTGGGGGTCAGAACCCTGAATCCTGCTAGAGTACTAGCCGTACCCCCACTTTCCCCGTGATTAGGGTGGTCTGAGGATGGGGCTGAGGGTGGTGAGCGTGGGCCTGTCTGGGGAGTCCACTGTTACCATGATCACTGAAGTCCAATTCCACAGGCACTGCCGCCCTAAGGCATCCAAACCCCAGCCTCCAGGCCCCCTCCCTGTCCCACCCTGCACCCATTCCAACATCAGAGTCCTGGGGCCCCCCTGGGACTCCATCTCCCCACTTCCAGGAGGTCAGGGCCCCTGCGTTTGGCTTTTCCCAGGCCCCACCCCAGGGCCCCTCGGCCTGCGGTCAGCTACATGGTCCCAGGCTCCACAGCAGCCTCCTCTACCTCCATCCGCCCCCTTTCCATCCAGAGCTCCCTTCAACACACAGCAGCGAGGTGAGGACCTCATGCCAAATGAACCCTACCCAGCCCCCTCCAAAGACCAGTGTCCCTGCACAAGTGCCCATCTTGCCCTGCCCTGCTCCTGGGCCTCACCTATGGCTTCTCCACTCTGCTCTGTTCCAGCCCCGCTGAATGGCCCTCAGGGCCCCTCCTGACCCGGGACTCCCCACCTGCAGCTCCTTTTTCCTGCAGGGCCCTCTGCCAGCCCTGCCTGTCCCTCCTGGGAAGATCCTGAGACTTCAGTAGCCATCCCTCCTCCCCTGCGAGCTCACTTTGTGCCAATGGCCGGAGAAGCAGGAGACAGGACCACTGGGAGCCGGCGCCTCCTGCTGTTGGTCCCCAGACCCCGGCACAGGTTAAGTGCTGCCTGATGAGGGAGGCTCAGGCCCTGTGGCCACACAGGCTGGTTTGAATCTTGGCTTTCCCACGTGGCCACTGTGTGGCTTTGTGCAAGCATCACAACCTCTGTGAGCCTCAGTTTTCCCATCAGAAAAATGGGGGTAATAACAAGCTACCTTCACAGAGCTCCAGCCTGGGCTGGGCTGAGGCTCCCCAGGTATGCGTCAAAGGGTCCTTCTGAGCACCCCCACCCTCATCAGTCCTGCAGTGTTCCTGGGCCTGGGTGACAGTCTCCAAGGATCCTTGGGAACCAAATGTCTCAGGGCTTCCTGAGACATTTGGGTGGCTGGGCTCCTGCCCTGTGAGACTCCCGCATCTTCTTTGAGCCCTTCCCCTATCTGATCCTCACAAGAGCCCATGAGACAGGAAGGGTCGCTGGGGCCACGTTACAGGCAAGGTGGTAATAGAAGTTCAGAGACCACACGTGTCTTGCCCAAGGTCACTCCGTGAGCAGACAGCAGGGCCAGGGCCCCAAGTGGTGCCTCGCCCGCCTCGCCACAGCTTGGCCACAGCCTTGGCCTCAGCGGAGCTGCACGAAGCCGAAGAAAAGGGGACCAGCTGGCTCAGGTCACGCAGCAGCTTCGGGCTGGAACTCGGTCTCCTAACCCCAGAAACCCCATGAAGAGGAGAGGATTACGATTCCCGCCTCAACTGAAGAGTTTGCACAGGGAAGCTGGCTGGCTGGTCACAGTCTGGGCGTCTGGGCAGTAGAGGAGCTGGGGAGGGGGCAGAGCTGGCTGTTGGTGGCAGGAGAGGGGGACCCAGGAGAGTGGGCGTGAGGGTGGCGAGGAGAACTGGCAGGACTGGGTGCCTGGGTCTGGGTGGGGGAGGGCTGGATGAAGGTGGGAGTGACTCCCAATGTTGGCCTGGCTCCGGGGACAGTGGGCTTGCCCTGGGAGGGCAACGCTGGGGGTGAAGGTGATCAGGGTGGGAGTTGGGTTCATTTGCAGTGTCTGGCGGGGGGCTCTGTATGGACATATTAACAGGGAGTAGGCAGGAGCAGTAGCGGGTAGGGCATTGGGGGGTTACAGGAGGGGTGCCTGGCCTGGGCTCCTGGGGGCAGGCCTGGTTCTCCTTTCAGGGTCAGGCCCTGGGCTCCCCTGAGGGCACCTGACACAAGCAACTTGTCCCCACACGAAAGGCCTGGCTCACTTCTTCCTGGGGCACCTCCCACACAGACACAAGGCCCACAGAGCCCACAGACCTGGGCAGAGGAGCACTGACCACGGCCAAGTTAGCATCAGCCCTGGCCGGAGTCCAAGCCCTCCTGGCCTGGCCATGGCCAGCCTCCTGGAGAGACTGACCCCCACCCCAGCTGGGCATGAGCTCACCGCGGCAGGCAGTGGGTGTGGGGACTCGGCCCAAGAAAACCAGACCGTGGCCTTCCAGGGCAGTGGCCCTAATGATGTCATTGTGGTCTGGCTGATTGGCACCAGACACCAGCTGAACTCTGAGGCTTCTATGACCCTCAAGCAGTGAAGTTCCCTCCGGCTCCCTCCCACTCCTTCTGGTCCATGAAGTCAGAGTGTAAAACTGAGGGGGAGGAGAGGAAAGAAGGCAGAAAACTTTTTCCTGCCGGCCTTCTGGCCTTCCGTCCCCCAACAGCCATTCCAGCTGTCCCAGGAAAAGAGGGTGGCAGGAACCCCAGATCCTGCTAGGTCTCCATCCTTTGGGAACTCAAGCACCCACAGGCAGTGAAGATGGAGCTGACCCTGATGGTTGTCTGGACTCCACCGTTCCTTCTTCCCTTGCTCCGCAACCCTCAATTGGGCCTCAGAGAAGGAATCATGACTGGCCTGGTACTCATTTTCCCAGCTCCTGTGCAACCAGGAGGTGGGCAATAGCCTAGTGCTGGTCAATAAGACATAATGAGTTTGTTGGCCAGTACTTCCTGCTTTTGAACACCATGTTAGGATGTGATGTCCTGAGCTGCAGTAGCAACTTTGTAACCATGAGTCATGGACAATGAAGACAAAAGAAAATTCACTCAAGAGGTGAAGGGGAAGGCTATGAAGAACCCTGGTTCGTTTTGGTTTTTTTTGCATTTATCTTTAGATAGAGTGGGAGGGAGAGAGCGGGGAAGAGAGAAACATAAATGTGAGAGAGACACATTGACTAGTTACCACCCACACGACCACAACCAGGGCCGGGGACAAACTGCAACCGAGGTATGTTCCCTTAGTGGGAACCGAACCCAGGACTCTCTGGTTCGTGGGCCGACGCTCTAACCACTGAGCCAAACCAGCCAGGGAAGAACCCTGGTTTTTGAGCCACCAAGTCAATCCCAGGACCTCCTACTCCTGAACTTTGGGTTAAACCACAGTAACTTTCCTCAAATACTCTGCCATTGGTTAGATTACTGTTGCCTGTACCTGAATGCATCCCTCCTGACACACCAAAACACGCTTCTTGTCTGAGGGAGCAGAAGTCTCAGCTTTCAGGCCTCTGGGTTGTGCTCTCTTAAGTCAGCTGCTTGATTTGACACCGCCTGGGGTCTGGCCACCTGGCTCTGCTGTCTGACATCAGCCACCAGACCCCAGCCTCCGGCCTGGCTGACCTCAGCTCCATGTTCTCTGATCCCTGCAGGCTCATCTGACCTTGATACAGCCCCTGGGGTTGCTGAGCTATCCTGACAACTTGCCTAAATCACGTCCCTCTCCTTCTTCTGGCCACTACGTCTCAAGGCCCTTTGACCCAGGCCAACAAACTCCTTGTGGCCCTATCTCTCTAGGACATGCTTGGGCACGCAGTGGGCAGGTGGGCAGCTAGAAGGCAACCCAGACAAGGCACAGGAGCTGAGACAGGAGTCTTCCAGCCCCTTACGTGGGATTCCAGAAGGAGGCAGGCTGCTGCACTGGGCTCCCCACAAGGAAGTTGGTGCATCACACACCCCAGACCCAAGTTACCTCCTGCCACTCCCCAGGCCAGAGCCCCCTGAGCCCGCTGTGTGTACCTGCCTCAGAGCGTCTCCGTGAGCAGGTGAGTGACCCTTCAACTTCTTTTCACAGGGCAGCCGACTGAGGCCCAGAGTTAGAAGGGATGTGCAAAGGCAGGGCTACTGCTAGGACAGGAATCCTAGCCTTGGTTCCTCCAACACACCCTGCTGTCTGTCCCCCACCCCCACGGAGCTCAGGGCCAGAGAACAAGCCTGGCCACCAGCCTGCTGCCCGAGGCTATGCTGATGGGGCCAAAATGGAGGGAGGTGTCAGGACTGGGAGGATGTGGGAAGAAATTGCTCATGGCAGGAGGGCATGGGTGAGGGCCAGGTGGGTGGGGACAGCTGGCACTGTGCCAGTCCTCCCCTGGAGCTGTGACTTTTAACACCCCGAGGTGTGGGCTGGGGCCAGGGCAGGCTGTGGGCCGATGCTCTGCCAAACCACGCGGAGACTTCAGGTGCCTGGAAAATGTCCGTCAGGCAGCTGGCCCAGGGGCCCTGCCTTTTCTAAAACCTTGGGTGCCAGAAGTTCACCCCAGCATCTTCCGCAGTACAACCCCTCCAGGGCTGCTCCATCCCCAGCTTGGCCCAGTAGCAGTATCTGGTCCCTGAAGACTTCCATCCCCAACCCAGCCCCCAAAAGACACTGACCCCTGGAAGGGCACAGGGTTCCCACCCCAGGCCTGTGACCAGGAGCCTGGGCCGCTGGAGGAACCTCCCCCCACCACAGAAGGAGCCAAGGACAAAGAGGCCATCCATGCCCTGGGCTTCATATCCTGGGCTCTGCAGGACTGTCTCCCATGCACCTGTGTCTTCTCCTGTAAGGTGGGAACAGAGACGCGGAGTAGATGGTAACACGGACCCTCACACCTGTCCAGCACTCGATCATTTCGGGTCCCACCACCAAATCACCTGCGGCCCCGGCAGCTCTGGGAGGCTGGTACTTCAACCCATTCCACAGGTGAGGAGGTGGGAGCTAGCTAAAGTCACCTAGGTGGTGCGTGGTGGTCCCATGTATGTCTAACTCCAAGTGACAGTCACCTGCAGCCCCCATCCAACTGGGCAGGTGCTCTCATGGCCAAGCTTTCAAGGCAGGGGGCAGGGCCAAAGGCAATGTAGGGCTGGCATGGGCTGTGTGTACGGTATGTGTGTCTCCTGGGTGTCTCTGTGTGTGTATGTGGTGACTGTATGTTGCATCTAAGTATGTGTGTCTGTGTCTATGTGTATAGTGTCTGTGTGTATATGTGGTATGTATGTATGTGTATATGTATGTGTGTATGGCTATGTGTATCCATGTGTAACTGTCTCTGTGTGGTGTGTGTGTGTGTGTGTGTGTGTGTGTGTGTGTGTGTACAGGGGGGACCTGCCTGTCAGGATCTCCTGGCTTGAGGTCTAACCGCAGGATGTGCTCTCAGGGCTCTTGCCTTGGGGATCCCTCAGCCCATGCTCTGCTCGCTCTGGCGTCCCTGGTAGCTGGCCATTAGCACCACCTCCTACAGTCAGGACACTCTCCTGGGCTGAACCAGCCGCCCCAGCTGGGAGCTCTGCCTCAGGCTCAGATAAGTCCTCCCAGTGCTGGCTCTGCCCTGGGGTCGGCAACCCCTCCCCCTGCAGTTTTGCTACCCCAAGGGGTCTGTTCTCTCATCAGTGACCAGCATCCGGCTCTCAGACCTCTGGGGTACTAAGGAAAACATACCCAGACCAGCCTGTGGCCTGGGACCTTCAGAAATCTTGTTCTTTCCACTCCCTTCCCCCACCCTGGGAGGCTGGCCCTCCCTAGAGAAGGCCACCTAGAGCCTCCTAGGCCCCAGCAGCACCTGATCCCTGGGACCAGGCTGCTCAGGCCTGCTGGGCTCCCTGAGGCCGGGGCTCCCCAGCCATACCCTGCAGGTGCCTGATGCACCCCCTCCCACCCACAGCCAGCTCTCCAGGCCCAGGCTCCCCAGTCTGTCTGACCTTGGCCTCCAGCATGATCAGTCGCTCACTCATGTCGCTGAGCCGGGTGCAGTTCATGCATTCTGAAAGAGAAGAGAAGCCCAGGTGAGGGTGGAGTGCATATTCTGGGGAGGGAGCAGGACAGCCTCTGGGTAAGCAGGCAGGGAAATCTCTGACTGGTATGCCTGGAAAACTTCTATCCTTCCACCAGGGCATCATCTTCAGCATCGCCTCCTCCATGCAGCCTGCCTGACTTGCAAGCCTCCCTTCGGAGCTCCCACAGCACATAGTACCACCGTTTGTTCAGTGGAGCGTCCGAGCCAGCACTGGGCCCGCACCCGGATGCCTCGTCTGCCGTAAGCTGCACGAGGCAGGGTCTTTGTTCGTTTTGTTTGCCCATGAATCTCAGCACCTGGCATGAAGTAGGGGCTCAAAAATATCTGGTAGTTGATGAACGGATAGTAAATGAAATGTGCTCCCTGACTTTGAGAACTGTAGTCTCTAGACACAGCTAGTAGGGTCTATGGTAAGAGCCGTAAGAACAGAACATGTAAGGAAACATTGTGGGGGAGGGGCACCAAAGCCAGTCTCGGGGGGTTGTCAGGGAGGGTATGCTGGAGTCAGTGGCATCAAAAGTGAGGTCCGAGGGATAGGCAGTGACTGGCCAGGTGAGGAAGAGGGGAGAGGCCAGGTTCAGCAGAAGGAAGATGTGCTGAGGCCCGGCAGGAACAGAACAGGGGTCTGCCGGCAGCCTGGCCAAATCACAGCAGCCCTGGGGGCACCGATGCTGGAGTGGGGGCCTTAACACGGAGGGCCTGGCAAGAGCTCCTGAAACCAATGGGCATCTGCTGGAGGGGATGAAAGTCGAGGCCAGCTTGCATTATTAAAAGTTCACTCTGGCAGCCCTGGCCGGTTTGGCTCAGCAGAGCGTTGGCCTGTGGTCCAGAGAGACCCGGGTTCAGTGCCCACAAAGGGCACGTACCTCGGTTGCAGTTTGTCCCCGGCCCCGGTTGGGGTTGTGTGGGTGGCAACCACTCGATGTGTCTCTCTCACATCAATGTTTCTCTCTCTCTTCCTCTCTTTGCCTTCCACTCTTCTGAACAAAAAATGGAAAAATGTCCTCGGGTGAGGATAAAAAAAAAAAAAGTTCACTCTGGCAGCAAAGTGCACAGTGGTAAGAGTGGGAGGGACTGGAAGCTCAAGGCCAATTAGGAGACCAGGAACGGTTAACCCCAGACACGCATCTCCCTGGGCTGTAATGATCTGTTTATGTCTGTCTTCCCAGAGAACCAGCTCTTTAATGAGGAAATGGATGGTTCAAAGCTGTTCTCAAGAGCTTTTATTGCTCTGGAAGTCAGGGGACACCTGAATTCTTCGCTCAGTTCAAAGCCTGACCCTACAGGAACCCATTCTGGTTAAACAGACACAGACACGCGAGATACTGGGTAACTCGATTGGTCCCACTTGGCGTCTGGAGGCCCCTTGGCTGCAGTGAGGCCTGCAAGTCCCTCAGCAGCGTCCACAGGCCCCACACCAGCCTGTCCTTGGAAAGGTTCCCATCACTGTCACTGAAAGCAGACCACCTTGTTAATGTCCCTGTTCTAAAACGGTGACTGCTCTGTGAGAGATGGGGGACATGGGGGTGGCCAGGGGGTTTCTGGGCCATGGGAATAGGTGGTTCAGGCTGTGCCCTTTCTAAGAGTGCCCAGCCTCAGGGCCAGAGGGCTGACACCCACTGTTTCCTGCTCACCAGCCCTACCTGGGTTTATAAGGCCCACTACATGGGCAGCAGGGGTCCCGTTCACCCTCATCTCCCTCCCTGTTCCCCTGGGCAGGCCCAGCCAGTGGTTTATAGCCATTTTTTAGGAACAAAACTCCCCCCACAATAAACCTTGTCAGTAATCTCAATACATAAAACAGATTAAAGACTGAGGTATAAACACTGAAACTTTAAAACAACTTGAAGAATGTATACAGTTATCTGACTCTGGGTCAGGGCAGGACTTCACAAAGATCAGTGAGAAAGGGGGTGGTTTTTGGTTGAATGGGGGTGGGAGTGGGTGAGGGGCAGTGTGCATACTCGGTTCCCTCTAGTTTCTCCCAGGAAAGGGGTGGTAAGGAAAGGGAAAGGTGTAACCCGCAGAGCGAAGAGCAGGCAGAGGAGAGCCCTCCGCAGACGAGTGCTGGCAGCGAGTGAGACGCAGCCAGGGGCCGAGGGGGTCAGACCCTCCGGGCTCCGGGCCAGGCGAGGACAGCCCCGGTGGGCACAGGGACCCATCTGAGAAGGGCCCACAGGCACTGACATTGGGGTTGCCCCTGGTGAAATACTGGGGTCCCTAAAAGCCCCCAGTCAACAAGGTCAAACCACAGGAAAAAAGCCCGAGGGGCTTTAGTGCCTCCTCCTATTTCTAGGGTTCCTGGCCTTTTGAAAGAAGTCTTTAATGGGAAAGACAGAGATCCAAACACACAAGGTTCCATTTATCTACCCACCCACCCTCCACCCCTTCCATCCACCCACCGTCACACAACCACCCCCTTGGTGACTCTCCTGCTGCCGCTGGGTGGGCGGTGAGGCAGTCAGGATGAGGGTACCCCCGCCGTGCGAAAGCCCATGAACCATGGAGCAGCCATGTTCTTTGGGGAGCAGGCTCTGACTGGAGGACAGGCACCTGAGTCCCAGCTGCCCCCTCCTCGCCACACCAGAGGGCGCCCCACCCCGGGGCAGCAGGAAGAGCAGGAGGAGGGTGAACGTGGATGAGCTGTAAATTAGAGCCGCAGCCCTACCCAGGGAACATTCTAGCAGTGTCCACGGACCTTGAGCAGAGTGTTTCCAGGGTCTGAGGCAACAAATAGGACTCCTTGCAGGGGGGAAGGTCAGTGGAGGGAGGGGGAGCCTGGGGCTCTCGCAGGAACCTATTTCTGGAAAGTGTGCTGGGCTCAGGCCCAGTTTGCTCTGGCACCGGGCACACTGTTTGGCAAGTGAGGAGCTGCTTGGCTGTTGGTGGGCACAGGGGGTCCAGTTCCCCAGCCTCAGAGAGGTCCGGAGGCCCAGCCAATGCTGGGGTGAGTCCGTCAGCTTGGCCTCCCCGTGCCGCCTGCCCTGGCAGGCGCTCTGAGACCAGGCGGGTTTTATGGTTCCCCTGGCATTCTGTCATCAACAGGCAGTGAAATTATGTTTGCTTAACTTTCTCTAATTATTCACGGAGAGGTGAAAACGTGGAAACGGCGCTGATGGGGTGACTGGCGCTGTGACTAGACGAGGCCCTGCCTGCCCAGCTCTGGGCCTTGGTTTCCCCTTGCTAAGATGAGGACTGACTTTCTGGGATTCTGCGCATTCCCGCGTTCCCACCCTCTACCCAGCACACAGGTGCGCCAGCGCCCAGCCACCGCACTTGTCCCGGTGTCTAGGACACAGATGCAGAAACCTGTGTCAGGAAATCTCTGCCAGTATGTGTATATTGGAAGTGTAGATGTGCCAGAAAACCGGTGTGTGTGTGTGTGTGTGTGTGTGTGTGTGTGTGTGTGAGAGAGAGAGAGAGAGAGAGAGAGAGAGAGACTGAGACTAACTCACTCCTTGGTGTGGTCAGTGGAAAGAGAACTCTGTAGAGGCCACTAACTCACTGGGTGGCTTGAGAGGCCCTCATTTCACCTCTCTGCACCTCAGTTTTCCCACTTGTAAAAGGATTTTACATCAGATCAGCTCCAAGGCCTTAGAGTCCTGGACTCTTTGCTCCTGCCACCTGTACCCTTGCCTTGGGCTCTCACTGCTGGGCTCTGTCCACCTACAGCAAGATGGTGGCTGCCGATCCACCTGTTGTTTGCCTTTGGCCAGCAGTCAGCTGGTGATGGCTCTGCACAGGACGTGCCTCCTGAATGAGGCTGGGTTCCCAAGGCCTGGCACCTGAGAGGAGCTTCGTCCATAGGGTGGGATTGGCTACTGCAGCAGAATCTAAAGAGGCAGAGTGAGTCCATTGTGAAGCTTGGGCCACGACGCTCCAACAGGGAGAACCAGGGCTCAAGGGTGGTCCCACCCGCAGAGATCCAGCTCCCTCTGTAGGAGGTCTTGGAGATGGGTCTGCAGGGAGGGGGCACGCACAGGGTGGATGTCAGCAGAAGGCCAACCCAACACAGTCCAACCGGAGAAGATCCCTAACATCTCCCTGAGAACTTTTACCCTAGCCAAGATACTCAGGTCCTGTTAGGGAAGACAGCTTCCAGGAGATCAACAGAGCCGGATGCTGTGGGGACAGGGACAGGGCAGGCCAGGTAGGTTGGTCATGGATGCTTATAGGGGACCACAGGAACAAGGAAGTCCTGAGTGGCCTCACTTTCTTCAGTGGGACAAGAGATGGGCCAAGATGGAACCTCCAGCACATCTGCCGCCTTCTTGTCTTACTACACACGGGGTCAGCCCTGCTCCTCCCAAGAGGTTAGCCTTGCGCTATACCTTCTTTGAGTGCCTCCTTCCTCCCCCACTGGGGCCTAGAGGTCAATTAAGACCTTTCTCCACTAGGTCATCTCACCCTCTGTCAGAAACACTGGACAGCTCTCATTGCTCTCAGGAAAAAGTCCCATCTTGGCTGGGCTTAGCCAGCCTGCACTGGTCTCTTTGCCTTCCCCTCTTATTCTCATTCAGGCCAGGTCAACCTGCCAGGACGTATCACCTGAGCTTTCCCCAAAGCCTATAGGCTCTCTCCAGCCTTCGAGACAGTGGTATTCTTTTGAGGGAAGATTTTTCTGGCTAAGATTCTGTACCCAGCTCAACTATCCCTCAAGATTTGAGGGGAGAAGGAAGGCATTTATACATAAGCATGGCATCAAATGTTTATACTCCAGGCATCCTATCTAAGGAAAATGTTGAAGGGTGTGCTCCTCCAAAATAAAGAAGTAAACTAGAGAAAGGACCCAAAACAGGGAAACAAAAACAAGTTCAACATGGGAGACAGACAAAGGGATACCCTAAGAAGGGAAACAAAGGAATGTCGCATGATGACAGTGTGCAGTAGGCTGGAGCATGACCCAACCACATTAGACTGGGAGACAGGGTTCCAGAAAGGAGACAGTGTGAACGTGAGGAAGGGAG